GGTACGGTACGTTTCGAAAATGGTTGCCTAGCAACTCGTTTAATCGAATTTTACTCTTGTACCAGGGACTGCCAGTTCAAAAAGTGGACGCCACTTTACTCTACGCACCACGCTTTGAGTCTCTATTTCGGAGAGTGAGTTTTTATGGTTAATTGGTTCGATAAGTATGTTCGTTTTGTTTTAATTGAAATATATATTTAGCCACATATCCAACCGTTTCTTTTCAAATCATTTTACCTCTTACTCTCAGCACACCACATTGCTTGGTCCTCGAAGTGAAAACGACAAAGGAAAGAAGTGTTTCGTCATCGATTTGGATGAAACCCTTGTACATAGTTCATTCAAGGTTAGTACAGTTCATGGCGTACGTTTATCTATGATGTGTCGTTGGTGCTTGGTTTTTATCAACTCAACTTCTTGATTAGAAGGAAGCTGAGGGTATGCTATGCGCCATAGTTCAACTAGACCCAAAATTTAATCTCCTAGCGGGTCGAAGGTTTAAGGTTTATACTGTGGTGGGTCATCTCACTGTGTTGGCCTGCTATGGGACCACTGCACACTCAGCTGTTCCAACTGAATACTGTAATCGACCCCGTAACGGTTACCTTCATTAAGATATCAATCAAATAACGGCCACCCCAGTCGGACCTACTAGGGCGCTGCTACCCCTACCATTGGCTGCTTCAACCTCAACTGGGACACGCAACCCATGGAGCTGTCAAATGACCAACTTACTTCCAACTTCTTTACCACACATGTTAAGCAATCCTTCTCTCCATCCGTGTTCTCTCTGTACTTGCCTAATGCAATAAGGTGGTTGGTAAACGCGCGCACGTAGCTAGCTACCCATGGACGTAGATTATTTGGGTGTTAACACGTTGGTATGTGTGTGTGTTGACCACGTGCTGTTTGTTTGTTTCTTTGCTACTACGTTCATTCTGCTCTTCCTTTCCGCTTTGGTCCTGCTTACGTGTCACGGTTTTCGGACACATGGAATCTTCGGCCGTTCAAATCAACAGGCAGTTTCTCTGTTGATTGTGGAGGATTTGCGAGTAAATAACGTCAACCGTGTCGAAGTTCACGTAGCACTGACAGATGATAACAACTTTTCAAGAACCTCATTAATTCTTCGCCTTTGATTCAACTTATTGTTCGTTTCATTTCACTATTCCCATGTTGTTGATGTGTGGATTTCTGGTGTCTATTCTCCCTCTGAATTGTCGGGTGACAAGCGCCGAAATGATCCATGTCACCGATGCAAAAAATGAATGGGACAAACTCATAGATCGTCACTTCATAATCATGAGGCCTTCTGTTTGAGATTTCATCACTTCGTTGGTAGTTTAGTCTAACACATCATGTTTCGACTTCTCTGGTAGTTTGAACATGTTTCACGACATCTGCAGAGCACCGCTTGTCGCCGGATCGATTTCATTGCCCGACTGGGACAGTTTCCTTAGCGAACCAATGGTGGCATGTGAAATTGCATAACGATACACCACCTAATTTGTTTCTCCGTGTTTCGTCACCAGATTTTGGTGATATTACGCTGGGTAATTATAATCAATTATTAATCAAGGGTAATATTGACAGTGCTGAGTACAATTTGCATTGCCAATTGGGAACGCCAGCGACCCATTGCTGCAAGCCGCAGTCAAAAATCATCAATGAGGCCCACTTATCCACAGAAATGGGGTAGCGGATTGTTGGCAGTGTGAGGAGATTTGGGAAAATTTCGTCCTTTAAGTGAAACCAGTCTACGCTGAAAACCCGATAAGCATTGTACTGCTTGTTAAGAATCATCAGCAGTGCTCATCTAACGAAACTGTCATCAGCAGTGCTCGTCTAACGAAACTCCAGCGACTGCGTTTGAACACTTCACCGTTTGTTTAAACTGTTTGACCGGAAGTCGTTGAATTCCGCGAGATGCGAGCTTGCGATTTCTCTGAAGTGACTAATTTCATCACATCCTGCTTTCTGTGATTGAAGACATCCAAACTCCGTGGGTTTTTCATTAACGAGGTATAGATCCCCAATATTCGTCGCCTGTCACCTGATGGTGCACCTTCTGTCGGGGAGACAATTTAGTATCCCTAGCAGACTTTTGTTTGTGGAAGCAGACTGCATTCGCAAGCGAAAAAGAAATCCTTCCAGCAGAGCTGACTTGATGGTGCAAAGCAGCGCTTAAGAACGAAAACGGGATTAGTTCAGGCTCATCTATCGGTGATACCGTGCACATTTTACAAGTTCAAGTGGAACTTTGCTGCGTGTAATCATCACTGAAGACTATGTTTTTGATTGATAGGCTGTCCGTCGTTAATTCCACTTTGAACGTTCGTGCGGATGGCGATAACACAAGGGACAAAAGTTGGGGAATTTCTCGCGAATGCCTGTGACGGTTTTAGTTAGCTTGTTGCAGTGGATCCGCAACAAAATGGTGCCTAATCAAGTACTTTTTACTGCATCACGGTCGCCAGAGGAGCAAATAGATTTTACTTGGTCAATGTGGCTGGGACGTGTACTACAGTTGACTGACCTTCATCTACCGGCAAAGTTTGCTTTCCCTTTGGAAGATAGAAGACGGACCGTGATATGGCGGCACGAACTAAATGCGGTCACAGTCGATCTGGGCGATGCCATGCCTAACTGCTGCCCGAGTAGTTTCTCTCGTGCTTGGTTGTAAACTCTTCAGGACGATGCCTAACCGATGCTAGTTGGGCCGCGTGTTTGTCAACATCCGCTGGGCTTTCACTGGTTGAGGTTCGTAAAGGTCACTCCCGATGATGACATCCTCCTAAGTGTGTTTATTTCACCACTGTGGGCACCTTGTCGTTGATAGTTTTCTTTGAGGCTTTTCCATTCCTTCCCTTCCTTTACAATCCTTACAAAGATGTTCCTTATGGTGACATGACAGTTAAGTACCGTCTTTGATCACTGCTGTCAAGTTGCTGATGGTGTTTCTTACCGTTACGTTTGTTTAAACCATTCATTACGAAACTAAATGCTTCCAAGGGTGATGTGTCTTTCCGCAGATACGCTCCAATGGTCAGCCTTTTCACCATGTTTGCCGAATCATCTTACTGGTGTTTTCAAGATACTGTGATCTGAACCATTCAGTAATAGAAGTTCTGGCTGGTATCCTGGAACCTGTCACGTTTAGCGACAGTTGTCTCGAGTGTTGTCCTCAGTGGCAATGATGATTAGTCTAATAGGTTCTTAGCTGGATACCGGAGATCCGTTCGCCTGCTTGCAGGGATGCGTTTATTTTGTTCACCTGAGGATCACGCATACAATGAGCCTTTAAACTAGCAGCTACTCAAAACAAGGCCTGAGTGAATTGCTTCTATGAGGCGGGTCTATACTGGAAACGTAGGAGTGGATAGTGAAGACGAACTTTGACTGCTGTCTGGTCAACGAC